CATTAAATTATGAAAAAAAAAAAAAAAAAATGCAATTTAAAGCTTAAAAGATTCAAGTCGCAATCTCCTTGAACGTAGGATCCCTATTCCTACTTGGATCAAGTTTAGTATCCAAATGATGGGACTCCACACCAACTATATTAGTTTTAATATCTTATTAGACCCCACATTCATTCTCTCATTAATCCTTCAAAATCAAGATTTGATGATTAGGGGTTTTGGAGATCAATTCTACAGTTACCTTCCCATCTTGCATTTTCATTTCATTTTCCATCTCTATGCAAATTTTATGATTTATTCTATTTGAATACAAATTACTTTATTCATGAGTTTATAAGCATGGACTACATCTCCATTGGTACGAGACCTTTTGAAAAAACCAAAAGTAAAGCTAGAGAGTTTATGCTCAAAGTGAACAATATTATATTATTGTGGAGAGTAGTTTATAGATTGTTCTGTATTTGTTGGCCCACTAAATTGGTTGGAACTAGAAAGGTATCTTCTTCCCAATAGCTAGCGTGAGGACTTTGGACCAGGTAAACGAAGATCATGATCCTCTTAATAAAAATTGCGACAAACACGAAGAATCTCAATCTCATTGCAATGACGAAGCTCAGGATCCCGAAACAGTCCTTCCCTCACTCTCTTATCGTCGAAAGGCTTTGTTTGAGCACTTAGAACCCACGAAAAACATCAACGGGCAAGAACCTTCAGCTGAGTCCCTACTCCCTCCACCCGATTTCGACGCCACCGCTTATCCTGAGGGTGGCTAATAGGGAAGAAGCGCGAACTTGTCAATGCCGACATTGTCGAGAGCATGCAGAGGATTGCCATACTGGAAATGAACAGAAAGGTTGATGTCGTAATTTTACTATTAATCAATGCGGGCGAGCCTCTCTGATAAACATTGTCGTTGTTGTTGTAATTGTAGGATCGGAAAATCGGCAGGCTGAACGATCAGCTCGCCGAGGCTGCTCGCTGCTTGGAATATCTTCAACTTCAGCTTGTACTAGAAAAGAGCAAAAGATAAGAGGTTGAAAGAGAAAACGCAATGGTGATGAACCTTAATTATATCATTATATATTTAATTTGTTTCTTTAATATATATATTTTGTAGATTATAGTTGGATAGGAACTTAATTATGTTTAAATTAATTTATATAAAATAAATTGGCAGATTAATGGATTAAATTTTGTTTTTTTCTTCCCTCTAAATTTTAATATTTTTCCAAATTTCTTTTGCGGTGGACGGAACACTTCACGGGTTGTTATTCCAAGCAACCCCACGTGCCAATCACGTGTAGTGAAACAATGGCCGGGAAGTTAACGTCGTTAAGGAACAAACTGCTTGACAACTGTCTCCCGTCATTTAGCACAAACCAGCGTTACATCGACGTTATCTCTTACGGATTAACTCTGGCCCCACACATCGTAATTTTTCTTATCTGACTCGGTTATTGATAGAGTGAATAGATCTGCCATTTCTTGAAATCTCTCTTCTGATTCAAAATCGTGGTGTAACGTGTATCCCCTCTTGTTCCGATCATGGAATAGATGAAATAAATTAATAAATGGATTTTTGTTCAAGAATGAAATCTTTCCGATCATGGAATAGATGAAATAAATTAATAAATGGATTTTTGTTCAAGAATGAAATCTTATTGGAACTGTCTTGTCTTAATAGGTGCCCTGATTGACATCTAAGTTTTCCACTTATCCACGTGGCAAGTATTTAGTTCAAAATATTAATAATGTAAAAACTACTCCATAAAACAGAAATGGTATTGCTTGACCCGTAGGATCGGTATCTTCCAGAAGTTCGAGCAACTATATCTTCTTTGATTCTTAACAAAAACTCGTGTTTTCTGTGTCTATGGATTTAGCGTAACAAGATCTACAACTTCGTAGAAGGAAGCTCACGTTTTTTAAGTTTTGCACGTGAATTACAAACATTGAAATGAGTTTAGATGGTATATGTGTAATAGTATGATGAACGTTTTATGCACGTTTTTCAAGAAATGAATGAATTGAACTATGAATTGAATGTAAGTCAAAGTAAGACTACGTATCCATGTTAAGTTGCTATGCTATGTCTTTATTTATATTATACCGGGACGATTAGAGGTTCACCAATTAACCCCTATTCGTAAATCTGACTTGATTGTTAAGGATTAGCCAATTAATCTCTAGTTTATGATGTATGATTGCACTATGCGGAGATTATCAGGGAGTTTGCCAATTAGTTTCCTTTGAGTGAACTTGTCACGAATAGCAGAGGTCTACAATTGTACCTTTGGAGTTGGTTGGATTAACTTGATGATGATTAGTTCATGCATGTGACTATTATGCGGCTATGCAGAGGCCTCCAACCAGCGCCTAATCTTAAATTTGACTTGATTGTTAGAAGTTCGCATAATCATACAGGCTTATGATTATTAAGGAGTTTGCTAGATAATGTTCTTTTAATGAACTCACTAGCCGTAAAGGTCCACAATACTATTTTTAAGTACTACCAGAATAATAATTTAGGAGACCAAGAGATATAAATAAGACAAAAAACTAAGAACTTGAACTTCTGCAAAATTACCCTAAGTTGAGCTGTGTATAACAAACTAACCACGTGGGCTGTTGGCTATAGTATTCGAATTTAAATTTCCATTTATACTTGTATCAAAATCCTCTAAATTGAATTTCAGACCGACACGACTGTGTTTAAATGTCTTAAATTTTATGCATTTTTATTATTCCACGTCAGCAACTGTACCAGCTCGAATATAACTATATAACTTCTAAATTTTTAGACGGAATCTGAGGATAATAAATATTTTACATTAGAGGATTTGAGGAGTTAATTATAAATTAAACCAAAGAAGAAAAAAAATAGGTAATTATATATTTTTTTATTAGAAAATGACATAAGGTATGACGTCATCATTCACATGTATATGGAGACAATCATAAGACACATCAAATCCTTCAACTATTTTCATGAATATAAAAACATGAAAAACAGACAAACCTCAATTTTAACTTTTTAATCAACATTATAAATTATGGATTTGGGTTCAGATTTAAGATCATGGAAGATCTTTCTCGATTTAAGTATTAATTTCAATTTTAAATTCCAAAAATAAAAACAGAATCTATCAACTTCACATTAATTTATTCATAAGTTAAAAAATTTATTTAACATTTTTTTTTAATAAATACTTACAACATTATATTTTCTAAATATGAAAATACCGATTAATTAACATAGACTAATATTTTTTAAAATAATAATTATTTGAGTTAAATTCCCAAATATTATATGCACGTGAAAGGCCAATAATTTGCGATGGGCCCAAAACAAAGAAGCCAGCCCTTCATCTTTTGTTCCTATGCCAACCTCCAATTCCTCGTTTCCTTCAATTTTCTCTTCTCCATCTTTCCTCTCTTATCTCACTCATGGAGATTTCTAAATCACTCTGTTTTTTCCTTCTTCTTCTTCTTCTGTTCTTCGTCGACCAAGCTCGTTCGGACGCCATTAATGGAGATTCTGAGAAGCTTCATCGTCTTCTTCATCTTCAGAAACGTCCATGGAAGCAGCAGGAAGAAGCTGTTATTAACTGCATCTTTCAGAAGCCAAGTTAGTGTTCTAAAATAACCCTCTCTCTTTTTTTTTTTCTTTTTTTTTACTTTTTATTTCATGTTTTATTTGAATTATAAGCTTGATAAAATGATAAAATGTTATTAAAAATGTAATATCGAGGTATTTATCCTAATGTTATTAATATGATGTCATGACTGAAATATTTAACTTTTGTTAATATGCTTCAAATTTTAATAAAGAAATACTGGCTTGATGCATATTATTAATATTTAGTAAATTATCTCTAATGGTGAAATTCCGAAATTACCCTTGATTATTGACTTTGATGGGTTGGTAACATGTTTTTCATGGCTTACATTGAAGGTTATTTTGGTAATTAGGAAAACAAAGATTTTTCTTTTGCAAGGTTTCTACCCATCATTTTTTATTTTTATTATTTTATTTATTTAGTCCTTAAATGATTCGTAAGAAGGAACTAATTTTAGTCTTAAATTTTAATGTTTTTTTTTTTTTTTTTTTTTTTA